GAGAAAGGGTATGCATGCCAACTATTTGCTAACAGTGTCGGGTGTTAATATACTGTAGAAGGAACAGGACTGACCCTGAAGAGGTGGGATACAAACCAGGTGTGTTTAAGGGGAAGAGCAGGAATTGCAGCAAAATGGGGTATCAGCTGGTAGGGTGACTGTGAGATGTAGGGGTTCCTGAGGCAGGTTCCTGGGAAATGGTGCTGAAACGGGGGATGGATTCCAAGCAGAGGCATATAAGAGGTGGTGGTGGGTTTTCTGCCCAAGGCAGACATCAGTGTTTTCACAGTCCTAGCCAGCTAGAGCTCTTTATCTGCCCAAGAGTGGGAGTGGAGAAGGGGGTGGATGTGGTTCACCCCAGCCACTTCATTAGCATGGGTGCACTCCCCATTGGGTGCAGCGGATGGCTGCTGGCATCCAGCCAGGTGTGCAGTGGGCCATCTCAGGATGTCGAGAGCCAGATGTTGTTTGCTGCTGATGCCATGGTAACCTGCTCAGGTGCCCTGGGCAGTCTTCCCGGTTCCTAAGCGGGAACTGCCTGGCCTTGGCATCAAGGTCTGGATTTGTCTGCTTTGAAGCAGGCTTCTGTCTTCATCTGGAACTGGCCAGTTCAGGGTTTGTTAGATCTGTTAGCATTATCTTATGGTGTTGTAGTTTCTGAACCCTGAATGAGGACAAAGGATGGAATCTTTGAAATTGGACTATCTTGGAAGTTCTGGGACATCCCTCATCCTGTGACTGGTGAGCCAGTCCCCACGAGGCTGGGACTCTGGTGGGCTTGCTAAGAGGCCCAGGTGGACCTGCCCCTGGGGTCATAGTGAGTCTTCACCAGAAGATCTGACTACTTGCCACCTTACTTTGAACTGAATGAGGACCCTGGCCAGTGCTCAGCTGCACAGTGTGGCATTTTGGAAACATTGTCCAGTAACCTGGCTTCACAGGAATCTTTCTGGCTGACTTTCTGGAGAGTTTCCCACTCTGCCCAGGACTGGGGTATAATGTCACATGGTCTCTGGATTCCTGGACCCCAGCCAAAGCCAGCCTGATGAAATCTTTTTTCTCTTCCAGTTTTATTGAGATGTAACTGACATACATCACTGTATAAGTTTAAGTTGTACAGCATAATTGTTTGACTTAACAGGGGTTGTGAAACAAACTTCACTAAGTTTAGTTAACATCCATTGTCTCATATAGATGTGCTGAAGTCTTAACCTGAGTGAAGGGTCAGTGAAACCCCTAGGAGCTCCATTTTTTCTTGCCCTTCTAACATTTTTTTCTGCTTATAACTTCCCCCACCCCTTACCACACACACACACACACAAACACACACTGAGAAAACCAGACCATACAAAGTTAGAGAAACTTTGTTCCTATTTTTCCTTTTCCAGACAGGGACATCAATATATTTGAATCATGGGCCGACAGTAATTAAAAAGCACGTAACTAGTCATTTTAAAATGTAGTTGTTTTACTTAATTGATTTTGCCGCCAGACCCAGAGGGGGGAGAAAAAAAGAACAGGGGAAAGAAAGCCTTAGAAGGGGAGACAGGTTTCTGCAAGTGACTGGAGGCAGCTGAGGGCCCTGCTTGACTCTAATTGCTGCAAATGCTACTAATGGTTTTCTGCTGAAAGAGCTGGGGGTGAGGCCTGATTGGAGGGGAGCGGCGTTTGTTTCAGCTGCATGGGAGGTATAATTCTGCTTTCAGGACAGGGCCTATTTTTCCTTACTCTCTATCAGCGTAAAGTACTTCCACTGAACACTTTGAACCAAGGTTCCATTTAGAGATACTTTATTCATATTTAATTATAAGTTGTAGCACCAATCTTTAATTACCTTTTTTTTTATAAGCCAGCTAGGAACATTCACTAGCAATCAATTATTGTGTGTGTGTATGTGTTGTCTCTGTGTGTGTGTGTGTGTGTGTGTGTGTGTAAGCACAGGAGGGTGTGGGCACGTGACTTGCTTCCTAATAGAGGGGCCAGGATGGCTGAGGGGCACTGGGGAGGTAGTGAGCTGGCAGGGGTGGGGTGGGGGTGGGGAGGGCTAGCTGCCCAACAGTTTTCCTGTGTGAAGTGAGTGGTGCATCCTTACTTCCCATGTGTCTCTTTGCTTCTACTCGTCACACTGGGGATTTGGGCAAGTCCTCACAGCTGGGCCTTTTTCAGGGTACTGAGCTGGTACCTGGGCTTGGGTGCTATCTTGGGACTCCTCCAACCCCTAGTGGGAGCAGGGGTTTTGTGGGAGGCCCCCTCCTCGTTCCCTGGAGATGGTGGACCAGTCCTCCTCTTACCCTGGAGATTGGGATACCCTTGCCCGGCCCTTTTCTTCCTCCCCCTCCCCCTGCAGTGCTCCTGGCAGCTGCTCTTGCCATGCAGTCCCAGTGATGCCATGTCCTCTTTGGTTGCAGTGACTCTGCAACGTCCCTGCAATGACACTGATTTGAAGACTGGTTGTCCTTCTCAGAGAATGAGCAAATGTTCCCAGGGAGCCAGGTGGAGGCTTGGGCTGGGAGTCAGGTCATCTAGGTCCCCTTGCAGCGGGAAGACTGGACCATTCTAACTGCCTAGGAGATAAGGGTCTGACTTCACAGCTTTGCTCCAGAAAACATTCTTCTTGGTGCTCCTTCAGGGACTACCTGAGGGTTTCCAAGGGAGTTGGTGCTGATCTCATTATATAACGGATGGGGATGTTGCTGATGTTCTACCTTCCTTCTGTTCCTAGAGCCCGGTCCCAGCAAGAGGGTGGGGAAGGAATGGCACTCACACATATTGAACCTGTTGGGGGTACCAGGCACCAAGCCCATGTTTCTTTCGTGTATCCCAGCTGGGGCTTGTGAACACACTGCATCAGTCAGAGCTCCTTCAGCTGTGTGTGACAGAAAACAAACTGCTTTAAGCAGAAAAAGATATAGTGTGGGCATTCAGGCATGGCTAGATCAAGGGGCTCAGCCATTGTGACCAGGATTCAGTGTCTCTGTCTGTTGGCTCTGCTTTCCTCTTTGTTGCTATTGTGTGACCCCTCTGGTAGCTCCAGGCTTCAAGTTCAATTTTTAGCTTCAAGCTGAGCAGGAAGAAAGAAAATCCCTTCTCTTACAGTTCAAACAAAAGTAAAACAGATGAGTCTTATTGGACCATTTGGGTCACATGTCTATCTCTGAACCAATCAGTGTGGCTCAAGGTACTCAGGGTTCTGACTGCCAGGCCAGGGTTTCCCACCCACCCTGGAGTAACAGGTGGGGTCCACCTAGGTCAATCCCATGCATGATATGTGCTTTTACATTTTAGGCCTTTGGATTAGTAGGAGTGTGGGAGCAGGAAGATCCAGCCATTTCAAAAGGAAGGAAGAGTTGGTTTAATTTTTCTCCAATAGAGAGAATAGTGGATTCAGTCCTTCAACAAGTATTTGTTTAGCACTGACTAGTTCTAGTCCTGTTCTGAGTGCAGGGAATTCAGCAGTGAACAAAGCAGGAAAAAACTGCTGCCCATTTGGCACTGATATTCTAATAAGATATATAGGGCTGGTGGTCTTTTCATTCTCTTGGTCTAAGCCCAGGTCTAGGATAAAGGTTCTCAGTGGAGAGACCCAGGGTGACTCAGGGTGATGACATGGGAAGAATCTGGCCCTCAGGGAGCTGAGAACTCACGAGGGAGGGAAAAAGACAAGTTGCATGGTTGGGGAAGAAGGGGAAGGGAATCCGTACCCATCTCTGGGGACAGAAAATTGTAAGCCCCTCCCATGTTGCCTGGGCCTTTAGCCTCTGCAGGATGTTGATAAATGGGATGGAGTTAGTGCAAGTTACAGAAATGATGACAGGGCTAGAGGGAGTGATTTATGAGACGAGATTAGCAAAGTGATGGTGCAGCCTAGCACACAAAGGGATGGGATGGTGGCCGTGGGTCATGCAACTTCTGAAATCCGAGGAGAGAGGCTGAGGGACAGAATTGAGTGGCTTCTGCAGAAGGGGGACAGAGGGATGCAGTGGGGGTCACAGACTGAGTAGACCCCAGCACGAGACCCTGGGTGGTGTAAGGAGAGACAGGTGACTATACATCTACATATTTGCACACTGGAATGTGTATGTGAATGTCTGGCCTTTCCAGAATAGAGAGGCTATACAGGGAATTCAAGAAATGGAGGGGGTGAGAATTTCAGCTCTGGACAATCTTGAAAAAGGCTTTTGGAGGCCTCCTTCCCATCTGGTAGAATATTCATATCTGACCATTTAGCTGCAATCAAGTCAGAAAGACTTTTTCCTTCAGGAAAACTGGTGTGTCATTTCTAAGAGGGAAAGAGGGAAAGAGGGAGGGAGGAAAGGAAGAGCAGATGGAAGAGCAATGGATATACATTCCATTTCATAGAGAGAGAAAGCGAGGCACAGAAGGGGCAGGGGATCTGCTCAAGGGACTTGGGTGGCGTTGCACATGAAGCCCAGAAGCAGGGCTTGGGATCTCTGCCAGCTGGCCAGGCCATGAGTGGACTTGGGGACCCACTTTGAGGCTCAGGTAGCAGCAAGGGGTAATTATTGGGTTTGAAGCCTCCAGGCTGGGCTTCCTTGAGCTTTCTAGGTTGGTGGGGTTGGAACATCTCCATCAGATCCCTGTCTTGGGCCACCCTGGGCCCATGTTCTGTTAACTTTTGATTTTATCCATATGTGAGAGCCTCGGACGCACAGTGGTAGGTAATGAAATGGGTGGATGATGCACAGTTCTGAACATTCTAGATGGCACTTTTTTGGCTTTAAATGGAGGTACTCAAGGTGCTTGTGTACATGTATGAGACACACCTTCCATGTGTGTTTTCTCTCTCACTCCCTTCATATGACCGGCGTGAATTTTCACGGCAGCAAAGGGCCCAGGCAAAGCACTGCGTTGGCATACAATTGATCAAGCAGAAAACCTGTCATGGGGGCATGGGGCAGCTCTGGCCCCGACCATCCTCCTGGGCCCTCTCACCGAATCGAGTCATCTTAATTGCTCTGTCCTCTCTCCACTCTTGACAGATTCAAGATTTGTTTGTGAGCTTTGACGACACCCCTCTGGGGGCTGCCTCCCTGGCCCAGGTCCACAAGGCGGTGCTACATGATGGGCGGACGGTGGCCGTGAAGGTCCAGCACCCAAAGGTACAGGCTCAGAGCTCAAAGGACATTCTCCTGATGGAGGTGAGAGCCTTCCCCCTTCTCCTTCCTTCATCCTCATTCTATATTTCCCTGGGATGCAGGCAGCCCCAGTGAAACTGATTCAAGGCCTGTGGGGTAGAGTGTGACTCTTTGAGCAGCAGAGTGGGAGAAGAGAGCTTGAGACCATGACAAAGGAGGTGTCATGACAATGCTGTGACCAGGGGATCTGTGGCTGAGTTGATTGGTTCTGTTTTATCTTATTTTATTCTATTTTATTTATTTATTTATTTTAGACTTTCTTTCTTTTTTTTTTAACTATTTTTATTGAGTAATAGTCATTTTACAATGTTGTGTCATGGGTTGATTGGTTCTTGATGCATTCCTAGGAACTGTCTGTGGATGTCTCTGAACACGCAGGGCAGCTGCTGGGCCATGGAGACTTCAGGGGGATGGTGTAGAAATGAGATGAACCACAGGTGATTTCCTTGGGGAAAGGAAAAGTTACATCTTAATTTGTTAAATTCCAGCAAAAGGGAGCATGTGGTCAATCAAGGGATATAAAAATGACAGGCAGATCACGTAGAAATATTTATCAGATTATATGTTTGCTTCTCTGATATTTGTTTTGAATGAATGAAAGTGCCTGCCCAAAAATGGCCCTCGGGAATTTCTAGTGGTGACTGTGCCTCTGGACTTTTCTAGTTCCATGCCTGGAGCAAGGAGAAAGGGTGAGCTGCCAGCATCCCCAACGGAGGTCAGCAATCAGTTTACCCTGCCAGCATGTCCCTCTTCTTCCTTTTCTCTTTCCCTTTCCTTTATTCCTGTTCCTCACTCTGGATTCTTAGTTAATTCTTTTTCACTCACTTTGAGTAAACTTAACACACACATCAGGACTAAGAGTGAGTGACCTCCGTCTTCATCCTCGGGGAGCCCCCATTTAGTGGAGGAGACAGACCTGTACACAAACAGCTTTTGACTGTGAGCTCCGTCAAAGGGGTGTTTGCAGAGTGCTGTGGCAGCCCTGTGCCTGGACTGATGGGAGCATCAGGAGGGCTTCACCGAGGAGCCCATGAGACAGCTAAGCAGGAGAAGGATGACCCAGCCTGTGCAAAGGCCCTGAGTCTTAGAGGAACAGGGTGTTCTTGGAGAGCTTCAGCTAGTCCAGATGGTATGAGTTGAGTGTGGTTGCAGATGAGGCTGGAAAGGTAGGCAGGACATGAAGGACCCTGTATTCCAGGCTCAGGTGCAGAAATGGTATACACAGTAAGTACGTACTTACTATGGAACTGAGCAGATCTGATTTTCTCCTGCAGTCAGTGGGAAACCATTTAAGAATTTTAATCAGGGGAATGTCATGATCAGTAGTGCATTAGAAATAAAAGTCTGTTGACAGTCTGGGGGATGTATTGGGAGGCAGAAAGACTGTAGCCAGGGAGACTAATTGAGGGGCCGCAGCACTGGTCTGAGAGAGAAATAATGATGTAAACCAAGGCAGTGTAATGGAGGTGGAGGAGAGGCAAGGATTCTTGGGGTGTAGCAATCAGGACTTTGTGACCAGCTTTACATGAGGTAGGGGCAAATGCTGGTATGAATGAGAATGAAAATAAATTGTAAGTTTCTGGTTTACATGATGACATTTGGGTGTCTTTTACCATGTGTATCAGTCGAGGTTCAGTTGAGGAAAAAGAAATTGCTCTGGGTATTTCAGGAGGAATTTAGAATAGAAAGTAGGGTTCACAGGGGATGGAGTGTCCAAGAAGCCAAATGAGATGGTGAGACATTCACCAGCAGCAGGAAGAGGGAGGGACAAAGAGAAGAGGTGATTCCCTGGGCCCAGGTGCTGGGGCCACCTGGTAAAGCTGGCCCGAGGGGAGTGGGTCACAGATTCAGGGCCTGTCACCTGTAGGTTGGAACCATAGATGCTGTTTGAGGCCATGGGTGTTTCATCTTCTCCTGTCACCATTATTCCGCCAAACCTAACCAGAAACCAGTTGGCAAAGGAGCCTGGGGAATGTAGTTTCTTATGAGAGTAAGGGGGTGGGAGGGATGTCAGAGCAGCTGAAGTGGTGGATGATGGAGCAGCCATGTGCTGTAAGATCTGCTGTCAGTAGTTTTGGATCAGAATCTCTCTTGTCAGTCTGCAATGCAGGCTGGAAAAACAAATTCAAGGTTTATCAGCAAGGAGACTCATGGGAGCTGAATCTAGGGAAGCATTTGAGATCACTTAGCTCTACAGAGTTTAAAAAAAAAGAGAGGACAAAGAAAGAACGTGAGGAACACCATCATTTGAGGAGTATGCCCCAAGGAGGATGAGTTCCTGAGGGAACTAAAAAGGCATAGACAGAGGGATTAGAAGAGAACAAGGATTGAGCAGCTACATCCAATGAAAACAGTGTCAACAAGAGAGCACTGTCAGTTATCTAGCATCTTAACTGACACAACCAGTAGTCTGCATAATGAACCACCTCAAAACGTAGTGGTTTAAAACATCAGTCACGTGTTTTGCTCTTGAATCTACAGTCTGGGCAGGGTGTGGTATAGAGACTCATCTCTGTTTTATGTGATGCCAGCTGGGGTGGCTTGACTGGAACTGGAGGATCTACTTCAAGGTGGTCCACTCACATGGCTGGTTAGTTGGTTCTGGCTGTTGGGTAGGAGCTCAGCTGGGCTTGTGGGCCAGGGCCTTAGTTCCTGTCCATGTGGACCTCTCCATGGCTAATTGGACTTCCTCACAGCATGGTGGCTGGGTTCTAAGAATGAGTGTCCCAAGAGAATAAGGCTGAAAGTACATCATAGTTTTATGACCTAACTCTGGGAGTTATATAGATTACTTCTTCCTTACTTTATTGGTAAGAGCGAGAGTCACAAAGTCCCCTTTGGTTTAAGGGGCAGGGAAATAGACTCTATCTCTTTTTTCTCTGATTATTGTTATTTTTTTTTATTGAAGTGTATTCAGTTTACAACATTGTGTCAATTTCTGATATACAGCATAATGTTTCAGTCATACATATAGACACATATATTCATTTTCATATTCTTTTCATTATAGATTACTATAAGATATTGAATATAGTTCCCTGTGCTCTACAGAAGAAACTTGTTGTTTGTCTATTTTGTATATTACACTCCACCTCTTGTTGGGGGAGTGGCGCTGTTCCTGAAGTGTTTTACAGTGGGAGATATTATTGCAGCCATTTTGGAAAATGCAGTCTGTCAGAATTACTTGATGTTGTCAAACACAATATAAATTAGTAAAGTTCTGAAAAGAATATTTGAGATTTGTTGATCTAGAGTTCTTGGGAAGAGCAGGGAGAGTGGGGTGAGTGGGATGAAAGAGAACTGAGGCCCCAGGGAGCAGAGACGTTTAATGTAGAACATTCTTTTCATGTTTAGCCGTGGATAGTGGGGAGAGCGAGGGTAGTGGTTAGAGCAGAGCACAGGCTTAGAGGCAGGGGACTTGAGGAGGCTGTAGCTGATGGGAAAGGGAGCAGTGGAGTTGGGGACTTGGAGGTTCAGGAGAGAGGAGTGACTGGTAGATCAGGTTCAGGAGGAGACTGGAGGGCTGGGGCTGCAAGGACCAGGTGGAAACATTAGGCTTTGGTCAGCCATTGTTTGTTTGCTTGTTTATTTTAGAATAAAAGTAGATTTATTTAGAGAGATGTACACTGAGTGTTTAAAGTAAAGGTAGATTACACACTCCATAGACAGAGTATGACTAATTTGGAAGGCAAGAGAGAGCGAGCCGTCGCGAGGTGCAGTGTTGCTAGTTTTTATATGCTAACAAGTGAGAGGATTATTCCAACTACTTTGGGGAAAGGGCAAGGATTCCCAGGAACTGGGCCACTACCCTCTTTGACCTTTCATGGTTAGCCTCGGAACTGTCATGGCGCCTGTGGGTATGTCATTCACGAAGTTAGTACATTACAAAGTGTATAATGTAGCTCAAGGTCCACTGGAAGTCGACTCTCCCACCATCTTTGGCCTCGAGGTCTATTGGGATTTGAATTCTCCACCATCTTGGTGCTAATTGCTGTGTGATTCCTCTAATGGCTATGCCCTGCCCCATTCCCTCCTGTCTCATTCCCCTCTCAGAGATTTTACTCCCTTAATCTTACGGGGGTGCAGAGGGGTGGCAGTCCATCTTCCGTAGCTACTTCAGGGGGTCAGCCTTTGTTCTGAGCCAAGAGAAAGGTGGTAAGGCTGGGTACAGATGAGTGAGTGGGGCAGGGGGGAAGGCGAGGAAGGTGGGCAGCTGAGTTGTACCAGCCTGATAGCCTCTATTTTTTCTCTGAAGTGGGAGGCAAGACCATCTGCTGAGAAGCGGGTGGGAGGTGGCATGGAGGCTTGAAGGGGGATGAAGGTTTGGAGTATTGCTGGATACAGTGGAAGAGGGAGCTGACCAGGACTCGGGGGCGGGGTTGCCAAGTGACACAGGGAATCCACTGGGAAACCTGAGTGTTCTGAAGCTGTGGAACAGCCATAGCTGGGAGTGCACTAGGAGGCTCAGAGGATCCCTGGGTGTCCTGAGACCTACAGCCTCTCCTGCATTGAACAGGAACCTGTTTCTGACCCAGTGGTGCCAGCTGGACCCACTGGGGCTGAGAGGACAGCAGACATTGTTTCTCTGCTGAGAGCCTTGCTGCTTCCTAAGCAATGGTGGCCGTAAGGTCAATAGCAATAATAGCAGTAATAAAGATTTGGCATCTCCCTCCCTGAGATAAGCATCAGATGCTTTTCTTGGGAAATAACAGCCTTGTGGTTGTGTGCAGAGTACAAAGTGGCTCCTTCTCCATGGCTGAGGCAGTGCTGGGGCTGGGATCTCGAGGCAGATCAGAGACCCTCACTCACAGCCTTCAGGAGAGAAGCTGGAGGCCTGAGGCCTGAGGTCACCACCTCCATGGACCGTCAGCATTAGCAGTCGTACGATGTGGTACTGCCTTCTCACTGGGCTTGATCTCTGGTAGGAAAAAAAGCCCTATCTGGTCACCCTTCTCTGCTTTAAAACTAAGAAATGCCAACTAGAAAGCTCATTTTATTTGATA